TCCTGCTGATTAAATAAGCTTTGAACCATACATTTAGTGGAGAAATTCAGTCTGCCAATCCACAATATAACTAGCAATGTTTTTAGGTTACTTTAATTTCTTAAAAGGTAGCTGAAATGAAGTCAGTGCTGGTGCCTTGTGCTGTACATCATATATTATTTCTGTGCTCTCTGTGGCAATAGCAGGTCCTCATAGGAAGGGCTGTTCTGGAGGGAGGATTGCACACTGGAAGTGTCTACATGAGATGCTACATCTCCATAGCAATGAGCTACAGTGATATAGCTCATCACTATGGCTACATAGCATCGGTGGGTAGAAACTATGACACCGATGCTACTACACAGTAGGGTTAGAAATGACCCATGCATTGCTGGAACTGTGCAGTAACAACTGTACAGTTGAGCGCCCATATAGATGCACCCACTGGATATGTCTTTGTACCCAGTTCCTGTAACTCAGTTCCTGTAACTCAGGAAGACAGATATATTCTCAGACAACACAAGCCAGTAAACCCTCAGCCTTCAACACAAATGTGACCTCAGTTACACCAAAAAAAATCCATTGGCAATTTACAGAAAATAGTCACCATAGTGAACATCAGACATAAAGATGTGATGTTCGTTTTAGTTACCACTGCTCTCACACCAGAGAATTACTGTGGTGTTTAGATTGTCCCTTACCTGTTATAAAACCTCTTTGGCCTGACTGTAGCCCAAAGCATATATCTTTTTCTATGCAGCTTGTCAGAACTGAATCTAAGAGGGAGTCTCTCTGACTCTGATCCTAACGGGTAACAGTTTACAACATGCATTAGTAATGTTGTACCCAAATCACTCTTCACATTTTTTACATGGGATGCAGACTGTGCAGTAGTGCTGCATGATGCAATGCAACTACAAAGTACTAACAAGCTACAGTCAGTATCATGAAAAAGCCATTCAGCAATGCTACTATGCAGTAACTCCAGTTACTGAGCAGTCATTTAGCACTTATTTATACAAGTATTAAATGAGTGCACAATAACGACTGTGCAGTCAGCATCTCGTGTCGATGCAGCCACTCAGTACAGAAAATTATCATTTCCTCTTTCCTAGTGTCAAAGCACATAATACCATCAATTAGCAATGCATAATTCTCCAAGACTCTGAAGGGTTATAGCTATTTCAGGTGGGCCATTTATCAGTAGGCAGGCTTTAAAGCTACAGAGAAGGATGTAATAGATGCTAGCTTAGGACTTATGAGAACCAAGTTCCATGCTCTACTCTGCCAATAACCACTTAGACCTAAATGCTATTTTGTTTTATATACCTAAATGGCACATACACAGGAAGGTAGGTCCAAAAAGGAGAAAGGATCAGAGCTGATTAACATGATTGCAATCCAGAGCTGAGCTGGCATGATGGCTGGGGGGGTGCAGAGAATGCCTTTTCCTACCAAAATCTAGAAGGAACTAACCACAATGATTTGAGGACAGCTTTTATCACAGGCAGGGGTGCCAATAGCTATCTCCAGGGAATCTGACTCGTGCTTTACCTTGCTACTGTGCCTTCAAGGATAAAAATACGTTAAGGGTTAAGACAGTTTCTGAATCCAACTGATCTAAGACAACAGAATGAGAATCATTCATGGGCAGAAGCTTTTGAGAACATATACAGACTGCAGCAGTCCAGGATGTTACTGAAAGCAATGTTTTATCAAATGGAGCATCTTTATAGAAGCTCCTTTTGTTCTGTAATGAGCAGATTGCACTAGCCTTCACTGCTTACAGAGCAGAGATCAAATATTGGAAATTCTTTCTGGGAAAATGTTATAGGAAAAGTTACTATTTTTAGCTATTGGTGATAATATTAACACTCTATGTAAATTATAGGTTGTATGAGAAAAACTCAAGTCACAGCAGTGTGGACATTACTGATGTTCTAGATAATGTATGGAAGATACAAGTTCAAACTAAATTTTAGGTGAACGTTCACAACATTATAAAACACATTCTCCCATCATTATCTGTTTTTAAGTTTTTCCATATGGAAACAAGAGCAAGGTAAGTAGTTTCATGCCAAGATAAAGACATAGAAGATAAACAATAAAAAATAAAATAATGCTGTTGTCCACAGCATCATTTGTTTACCTTGTTTCTCCACATCCTTCAGAGGATCAACACCAGGGGACAGGATAAAGAACACTGGGGTTGCAGGTCCTGACTCCTCATAGGATATTGCAAAATCCAGATATCTTCCTATTGTATATTTACTCCCAAGCGTTTCTTCAACAAAATCCCTGCCAAAAACAACAACATACATACATACATATATGTACATGCATGTTCTGGGTGGGAAGGTGCACAGCACTGTATAGTATGCTTGTACCTTGACAAGGGTAAGTACCCTAAACTGTTGCTGCACAAAACTCATAACTAGAAGGTGTTAGATGCAGGGTGAAGAGAACAGGCCTACAATGTTCTACACTAATAGATAAAACATTTGTTTAGGCACTACCCAGGAAGCAGCAATATCAGGATCCCTATGATTTGAACCTGGAACTCTAGTACTCATAGGTAGAAGTCCAGACCACAGGCCTACCAGATGGCGGGCCAGTCACCAACTCCAGCTCAGCGTATACCCAATGTGCTGAAAGCACATGATTGGAGGGCTATAAAACTCTCCCAACTTCCTGCAGAGCCTTGCCCATCAGCAGCATTACTTGATTTAGCTACTTAGTACCCTTCTGCTCTGATTCCAGTTAAACCTTGTTAATGCCTTGGATTGACTGTTTGATTTGACCACAACCCTGTCTCGGCCTTTGGCCTGATGTTGTAGAACTTGAACTGATACCCAAATTTGACATTGGCTTTCACTTTGATAAGCACCTGTCTTAGCACGAATCACTAAGACTGACTGCTTATACCTCAGTCAACCCTGATATGTAGCCAAAGACTTTAGATGTGCCTCCTGTACCCAGAGGCCATGTCTACATGAGACACTGGCTATGCAGTCATTACTGTGTAGTCATGTAGCACTTGTATAAACAAGTACTGAACGACTGCCCAGTAACTGGAGCTAGTGTGCAGCAGTGTTGCTAAATGGCTTTTTCATGATGCTGACTGCACAATAGCTCGTGACTACTGCAGTCAATGTCTCATGTAGACGCAACCAGAGATAGCTTGAATCTACAGCCCTGTAACTTTCCAGCACAGGGCACTTATGTGAAAGACTGTCAAAATGTCCACTTTTGTAAAATGCCCTCATCTTAGATTTAAAACTAAGTCACAAAAAGCAGTAAAGAGAAGGACCCATGGCCTTTTGTGTTAACTTTTTTTTCAGAGATTAGAGCAAGATGGACTACGATTGCATTTAGCTGTTAATGTCCATAGGCATCCCATAGGTAGAACAGTATCTGCTATTTTTGCCATCTTGTCATTGGTTTCCCTAGTCCTTAGTTTATCTACCTGCTTTTGTTTTTTCCTTTTCACACACACAAACAGACACACAATTTCCTCCCTCACCCCTTTTTCTCTCCTGATTTCTACCTTCTGTCCCAAATTTGATAATTTCCTGTCCCACCCCACAACAGTCTTTCTGCTTGCCCCACATTATATCACCAGTTTGTGCACTTCATGTCTTTTCATTTTTATTTTACACCTTTTCCATCTGAAGTGAAGCCTCATTTTCTTGCTGGTAAGGAGTGCATACACACAGTGGAAACCATGCATATTATTGTTCAGAAATGAAAAGGCAGTTAACTGCACAGAAAGTAACTCAACTATGTAACATAGAAGGGCTCTCTTGTGGTAAATGGAGGGTTAAAATACACTCAGTAAGTAAATAGGTATTATTTTCAGTGTCATAATGGATAAAATTGCCCATTTGTTCTAGAATACCTAAGGGTGGAATTCTATTATCCTGTATGCACCTAAGTGGCATTTTTACAGCTTCATGGGTGTGTCTATACATGTAATTAATACTATTTAGATTTACTGCACAGTAATTTACTGCATGGTAAACCAGCCTTGGGAAGGCATCTACATATACGTCCTGTTGGGAGTGGATTTACTTCTTACAGCTAGTGACAGACATTACACATACACCCGTTTAAGTGATCAGAACCTGGTTTAAACCTGTAACAGAACAGATGTTCAGTGCACATAAAGCAGTTTGAAAATGGCTGAAACTGGTTTGAGAAACCTGGTTGAATGCAGTATCAGACTTAACTGATTTGGCTCAAACTGGTTTATGCAATGTCACATAAACCCCTTGCTGGTTTAAGATAGATCAGACTCCCCCAGCATCCTGGCATGCTTTCTGGGCTGGGTGGGGCTCTCTGCTCCACAGCAGGGCTGGCCCCTCCTCTGCTCCCTGGCTGCAGCTCCAGAGACTTGCAGGATGCTCCCCCCTTCCCCTCAACACTCCCTGCTAAGCAGCAAACACGCCCCGCCTCTGCCTTATTGAGGAGTTGTCTATGTATTAGCTAGCAGACCACATACTGGTAGAATCATCAGGCAAAATCAACAGGTAACTGGTAATGTCCCTCTGTTGTTTTCTTAATGGGGTGATAAACACTGAGTAAAGGGTCATAAACACTGTTATCAGTTCCCTGTTGGGCTAATCACAGGTCCTACCAGGGCCTGGCCACCCTGCCCCTCAGCTCAGTGCTGTAGAAGGAAGGGAGGGCTGCTTTACCCCCCCCCCTAGTTTCTAGCATGAGCCACTGTAGGCATGTGCCTGCATTTCTGGGATGTCTGTGTGGTTACCAAACTGATTTAGCCTAGCCAGGTTAGAGTAACCTGATAAGATTGAATCAATTCAGGCTCAGGCTTTTTGAATGTCTGTCCCTAGCCTATAGGATTAATCAGATCTATGCCTGCTCCTGCCCTGCTCTGAACTCCTGCAGCAGACAGGGGGAGCTGCCAGTTCTGGATGCAGCTCCCTGGGTGCCAGGGGGCAGGTTTAGTCTGGCAGGGGGCAGACTCTGGATGACAGGGACTCCAGGTGCCATCAGGTCCGGGCATGTACCCATAGCAAAGTGGGGTGCTGCCCAGGGGCCAGGCAGCTGCAGGCACAGGTCCTGAGTGTCAGGCCAGTGGTCTGCAGGGTTGCTGGAGCTAGCACATGCTCACAGCACAGGGACATAGTGCCCAGGGGCCAGGGAGTAGCTAACACAAACCTGGGGGTTAGGCTGGGGTTCTGCAGTACTGCTGCAGCCAGCATGTGGCCACCACACCAGCACACAGTGGCCAGGGGCAGGCATCAGCTGGCCCAGGCCCCAGAGGTCAAACTAGGGATCTAAAGGCCAGCCAGGAACTGCTAAAGCCATGGGGTTAAACTCTGCCCCATGGCTGGAGGGACTCCCAGCTCTGCCCCTTGCAGGAGGCTGGCCCCCTAGGAGTAAATTTGTTCTCAGTCAGCATCTATGCAGGCATTACTGCACATTAGACCATGCATAGTAAATCTACTACCTGTAAATACAGGTAGCAGATATACTGCACATTAGCCTATTTTACTGCTCAGTAGTTCAGCACACAGTTACCTAGTGATGCCTTACTGTGCAGAAGATTAGTCTACTGTGCAGTAAAGCGTCTCATGTAGATACACCTTTAGAGTGGCATTTCTGGCACTTATGCATAGTTTGTGACTATTTCTTGTGCAGTGTGGCTACATCAGCATGCACATGTGCTTGGTAGGCCTACTGGCAGGTACATGGATATGTATGTTCCTGTATTGGACATACCTAAGTCACATAATTCTGCCTGGCAAAAATGTATGGTTAGTAAGTATTAGATAAAGGAGAAGAGCCTTCCCACATTTCATACCCAGTGGCCACTACACTACACTACGTGAGCAGCCGACTGTGCAGTTGTTACTGTGCAGCCATTTAGGAACTGTTAAGCAAGTAATAAATGACCACGCAATAACTGGTGTTAATGTGCAGTTCCATTGCTGCATGGTTATTTTTAGCTACTACTGCACAGTAGAAATAAGCTATTGAGCAGTATCTCATTGCTATTGTGCAGCAGCGTTGGTGTCATGGTTCATGCGCAGCAACACTATGTTGCCATACCAACAAGCTACAGCACAGCAGCTCATTGCTATGGTGACGTAGCATCTTGAGTAGACACACCCAGTAGGACACAGCTTCTAGGTCCCCTTCTCCCATAGAGCTTTGAACCTGCATCTCTATGACTTCTCAGCATACCACTCTGCCATACCACAGTGAGGCATTATCCAGTCTTTTCTATAGTGTTCCCTTTAAAGCTGTCCTCCTGGTCAGCCGAGAGAGAGATATGTGTGTATGGATGGGAGGGAGAAGGCAGGAGGAAACAAAGCTGGAGAGAAACGATGATTCAATGAGCTGGGTGAATCTACGCAAGGTGTTTACTGCAGAACTGCCAAATTAGCTTTGCAGTAAATATCTCGGCATCCACATGTGAAACCCTGTTACGCTGCAGTAAACTAATTAACTCTGCCACAGGTTAGTACTTGTAAACACAAGTACGATCCTATGGCAGAGTTATTTAGCATGTTGCAACACATGTGTAGACCCTAACAGGGCTGGCTATGGTATGAAGGTGTTTCAGTGCGGGGGCTGCCTGCCAGCTAGTCCCACATGGGAGCACCCTTGTACCCCAGGCAGCCCCTCCGCAGCACAGTGAGCTGGGTCAGAGCAGCCCTGGGCTGGTGGGCTGACCCTCCAGGGCTACCTGCCAGCCAGGGCTGCTCTGACCTGGCTCAACATGCTGTGGTTCTGGGTGCATGTGTAAACGTGGTGCCCAGAAGCAATAAACTGTGGCATGGTATGCACTAGAGTTTATTGCATCACATTAATTTCATGTGTAGACACACCCAGAGATGCACCCTGGAGACCACAAAGGAGACAGATGGACACTCTGTGGGACTGCACTGGATAAAGTTGGACACTCTGGTGTAGTCCCTGGGCTGGGGCCACCAATAAGCTGATTAGCCCCAGGACCACCCCAGAGTTTCGATGCATGTGTGGGGAATCTTAAAAAGGGAATCCCAGCAGATGCTTCCAGGGCTTGACGGGCCTGATCCTGCATGCCCCAGAAATGGGAATTCCCAGAGCACTCAGAATGCCTGGGAATGACTGAATTCCTGGAGCACTTAAGACCTGGGAGTGCCTGCATGGTGGCTGGAGAGTGCAGGTAGCTGTGGGCTAACTATGCTCTCCCACCATAAACCTATTTGTTAATGTCCAATGCTGCAAAGAGTTCCAAGGCAAAGAAAAAAATAATTTATACTAGCAGGCCAGTTTTACATGTCTTG